CCCTTCCCTTCACGCGCCAGGTACTTCCAGAGAAAGAAAGAACAGAGATGGGCTCAGTTGACAGTGCCATCCATTCGACAGCCACCTTTTAGGGGAGGAAGCAGATGCCTGAAGACAGGACTACCTGTCTATTCTTGCTGACCATTGCCTCATCCTCTCCCTTAGTATCATTTTTAATAGCATTATAACCTTCCCCTTTCAAGATTTTAAGTACGTTATTATGACAAATATCTCTTTAAAAATAATACTTTCTATTTAAGGAAATGTTAATCAGCTGCAAGAAACAAAGGCAATTAGTTACATGCTGTTAGTTTTGTTCCCCATACAGCGTATTTCCTTGGTGTCTGCTGAAGCCGCTTATTCATTGGAATCAAATTAGACAAATAGAACCCTCATGTCTTTACGCTTTTGTAGCTTTGGGTGGGGGGCGGCGAGTGTTTCTGTGAATCTGTTTTAAGGGATTCTCAGTTCATTGGTCGAGTTGCTGCAAACCTGAATTGTCCGGTTAACCTTTAAGAAGTTCTCATAAATCCCTTTCGCGCATGGGTGTTATTAGTGGATTTCGATGGTTCTACCCTGTTCATGTCTAGTGCTATTAATGTTATATACTAACGGGAGGGTTTCATCCTCCATAGAGCAGGTTATTGAGGATGGTCAAAGGCAGTTTGCTGGTCTTGGTCGGTTCTGTCCCCTAATTTGAATCCCAGAAGTGCTCTTCAGTCTTATCACCTTGTCTTCAGCGAGCCTAACAGCTTGAAACCTGAAATAGCTTCTGATATTACCATTACTACAAGCCAAGTTACTCTACTTTGGTTACACTTTAAAAAACAACCTAACCTCCTAGAAATGAAAATCCCCCAGCAGCCCGTGGCTCCTCTTGAGCTGCGTAGGAAACAACAATCTACTAGATTCCTGGAGTTCCTGTCTGCTGTGTGAACGCATCCCGAGAATGCAGTCTCTGTGAACAGCCAGGGAGCCTGGCAGACGCGATTTGTCATATCGGCCATGCCTCTTTTCTGACTCATATGCATGTTTAGCTTCTCTGCCTTCCATTTAGAAAATAGACTTTCTGGGTCTAACAGTAATTTGACCTCTGCAGTGCCTGGCATTAGTTTAATAAAAGGTCATATTCCTCACTTGTCAAAACCAGCGTGAGCAGAAATTCATTTGGCAGAGCACAGAGCTGGTGGCAGCTGTAGGTGGGCAGAAATAGCGGCGAGCTCCAATAATGGAAGGGCCCCTAAAGACTGGGACCTTAAAGTTTTATTGTCTTTTCCTCCTCCTTTACACTCTGGTTATTTCTTTTGTTCTTAGACCCAGTGTAATGTGGATGGTTGTATCTCATGAGATAAACCTGGGGTTTTTCATTCAGATCTGAGGCTGTCCTACTGTGTGACTTTTCAGTAGAAGTTTTATGTTTGTTTGTTTTAAATTTTTACATGGATTATCTTCCTTTCCTTCCCATCTTCAGAGCATGACTTAAATTTGGGCAGCATCTATGACAAAAGAAAGCAGGAGATTTATTTAGTTTCTTTCATTAAGCTGAGATAGGGGAGCTGGGTGCTGTGTATTGTTATCACCCCTCTAAGAATAAAGATTTTTACTTGCCTCGAGCATTTGGTATAGTTATAAAGTTTCATCTTCTCTCTCCTATCTTTCCTTTGGCTGGCTGCCTACCTGGCATTGATAGCATCAGACTTCGAGTTTCACCTGCCAAGATGATTATTTATGCAACACACATGCTTACTGAAAGGGTTTTACTGTATTTTCTAGAATCTTAACTTTGTATCTTGAAATGATGACATTTATCCTTTTTTTGTGGTTTGGATTTTGTACACGAATGTAGAAAAATTGACATCAGATCCCCTAAGAAAGTCATGATTTTCTTGTATGTGAAGACTAATCTGTAATAATAAAAGGGTAATATTCTAATTAGAACAGACATCTTCCGGACATCATTCTGGACGTCCTTCCTGACAAAGCCGGAGCTGGAGAGAAGCCAGCCCGGGTCCCGGGTGCCAGAGGGAAGCCCGTGCTGGCAGCTGGGGGAAGGAAGGCCTACTCTTGCACGAATTTTCGTGCATCGGGCCTCTAGTTTCTTTTATATTAAAAAACAAGGAAATGTGTATAAGCACTTGTTGTGCCCTTCTTTTTAATGTAGTGTGATCAATTTCATTTTCTTGTTTTAAAGAATACATTTTAGGACCCTTTTTAGGGTGGTTTTTTTTTGTTTGTTTGTTTGTTGTTTTTTTTAGAATACAGAGTCCTTAAGTGGTAGTTAATAGGATTCAAGAAAAACAGTTGCAGATCAGAAACAGATTCTAACTGGCGATTTTAATAAATTTTCCATAGTTCAATAGGTTAATTTCATTAATTGACTTCAAGTTCAGAAGTAACATCCTTACAGTAGCATCTAGTAGTCCTGTATTTGGCAAATTATTATGCTTGTCAATATTAGCGTGAAAATTTCAAGGTACAACCTGAAATGAAAATAAATGAAAAACATACTTGAATATTGGAATGGCAGGTACATCCCTTCCCTAAGTATATGGGAATTTGCCTTCTCTGCATTCCATTTAGAAATAAGATTTCTATGTTTAATAATAATTTGACATTTAGTGTCCCCATTCACCAGTATTTAGGAAGAACTTGCTCCAATACACATTGCCTATTTGCAGATTATCAAAATCTCCAAATTTCCTTCATATTTTGAGGTGAGAAATGAGATCTTAGCCTTGGGGGGAAAAAAGAAAGACAAAAGGAAGAAAGAAAGGAGAAAACCTCAGTACAGTGAAAATGACATCCTACATCCTGTTATTTAATTTTATTATTTAATTTATTCTATTATTTAATTTCTGATGAGTAGTCACTTTTATATGATTCATTCCATTCACATAAAATTGGTATTTTTCAGGGTTGATTTTTTTGGAGCTATGGGCTTTGAAAAGGAATATACTTAAAAATGACAGTATCGTAGCATTTAATATAGCAATTTTCTCAGGGCAATTTCCTAAGAATTTTAGCTGCATAATTATGATTTCCATATTTGCTTCTCACAAGTATGTGGTTATTATCAATTTGCATTGTTTGCAACAGCAAAATGAAAAACAAAAAGAACTTCTAATAACTCTTTTCTTCGTTTCCAGAAAAGTGACTTCAGTGTACAGTGTTTTTTATTCTTCTCACTGTTAGTTTATTGCAGATCATTTCAGGCTTCCCGTGGTTCTGGTAATCACCCAGTTTGCACCCATTTCCTAGCAGTAGCACAGCAAAGATGCCTCTCCACCTCTCTCCTTCCCTCCTTCATCTTGGAAATACCGCCCTAATCTAGGAAACCTTACAAGAGGAAGGGATCTCCACAAACTAATTAAATTCACATCTCATATTTTTTTTTCAGTTAAGAAACAGGAAATTTAAGAAAACAACCCCTCCCCCCCCCCAAAGATGATACCGATGCTAATAGTAGAGCTGTGATGGGAACCTGGCTTCCCAAGGAAACCAAGATGAGAGTCAGAACCCACACCAGGTCCGGAGGAGAACCACCTGGGAAACATGCTAGATGGGAGGCAGAGAAGATTGCGGTGGCGAACAAACAGTGTTGAACTTTGTTATTTTCTTCCTTTGTGAATCTAGGGATTGATTTCAAAATAAATGTTAGCTACAGTCACTTAAAACCACTTTTCAATGACATATGACTGGAAAACAGTAGGAGAGAAGAAAAATTGTAGAAGGGATTAGAAAGTGGAGAATAAAATGGAAAAGTAAGATGTTTTTGGTTTTAAAAAATGTCCAACTCTAACATAATTTTAAAAACCCAAGGATGTAAGACAAGTGCAGAGAAATAGGAAAAATAATTAAAATGCCCCCTCTCAAACCACCATCAATAGTGTTTCAGCATCTTTGTCACATCTTTTTATTTGGGGGAGTGGTGTTCATTTTTATTATCCCCTCATATATATATTTTGTATGGTGGTCATGTGGCTTATCATAAGTATTTCTCATGTCATATTATACACATTTTTCAGATGTAACATTTATTATTTGCATGATGTTTCATCAGTAGGCCATTGTTTATTTCACCATCAATTCCTATAGTATTTGATATTTTGGGTACTTATAATCTTTGCTAAGTAATTATCATGATGAGTATCCTTGTAGGTAAATACCTACATTATTTATGATTCTCATATACTAGTAAAAGAGGTCTAAAGCTGGAAACACAAAATGAATAGTTAGTAGAATTTTCAGGGGATGGGTTATGTTAGGAGCACTTAAAGGAGATAGAGGGCTTTAGAAAGCCTCTAGTTTCTATCCTTTCATAGTTAGGAAACTTTAACTCTAAATATTTCTTAACAGGAACATTCTTTTCTTTGCTATGACTTTGGAGCCTTCTTGACTCAACTTTGATGCAGATTGCAGAGTTAAGTTACAAGGAAGGCAGCCCATAATATCTGGGTTAGAGAGTCACTTTCCCATTTTCCCATTTTTGCTTCTTGCCAGACCTTCTAATTCAGGGCTACCTGTCTTGTCTCTTTAACATTTCCTAGAATTTATCTTAAATCTCACTAATTTTAATAGCTGAGTGGTGGCCATGCTGCTTTCTGGCAGTGTCCTGATAGCAGCAACAAAGCAAAGAGCTAATATTTCTCTCACAGTGATTGATGAGCTCATTTTGTTACAGAGGACAAATTGGATTTTTTAAATACTTGTAATAAAAATTAATGTGTGATGTTGCTTTTTGGATGTTATTGGATCTTTGCCTTAATACAGATTTCTTCAATAAAAGCATGAGCTGATAACTTGACCAAAAAGTTACCTGTCTCCCCCTTTAGCTACCTTCAGAAGTAAAGGTGCTTCTCTAATGCTGTAATCCTGGCACATTTAAGCATGTATGTGTGTATGTTTGTATCGATGGAAATAGGGAGGGCTATGGTAGGGGGGGTGGTAATAGTCTGTGTTTGAATTTTCCATCTAATTATGATCAATTCTTTTTATTTCAGCACCTCCGAGGTTTACACGGACTCCTGTTGACCAGACAGGGGTCTCTGGTGGCGTTGCCTCTTTCATTTGCCAAGCTTCAGGAGACCCAAGACCTAAAATTGTCTGGAACAAAAAAGGAAAGAAAGTCAGCAATCAGAGATTTGAGGTATTAGGTCCATTGTTCTGTTTCTCTGGGGGAAGAACGTATCTGCTGTGTCTTTGGTTTGTATGTTACTTGCTTTACTCTGTTATAAGGTGTCATCGTCACTGAGATATGGCATTCTTTATGTTGCATGTGATGGCAAATTCAACTTTCAAAGGCTTTTAAAGAAGAGGAATCTGGGAGTTCAGATTTCTCACTTTGTCTCTGCATGTACCAAGGCTCAACTCGTGTTCCTAGCATCCATCTGAGAGCCTCATCCTCAGATGGAGTCACTCATCCTCCTACAACCGAGCTTAGAGGAGAAGTGATGGCTTCCTATGACATTGTCTATGTCATTAGCTCTTTCTGACTTACATGTTCATCCTTAAACCAGTTGGTGTGGACAGCTAGACAGTGCTGTTTAAATTAATTAGAATCTACCTCTTTTGCTGGGAATGAAGTTAGTCCCATTCAACCCCATGGCCTGGAATGAGGGAGCTGTGTTTTCCCGAAGGGATCAAGTTCCTATTTCCAGGAGCAAGGGGAATAGCAGACAGAAAATGAAGTTGCCCCCTCCACCTTGCACCTGTGTTTTGCAAGTATCATGAACTAGAATAAGAAATTTGCTCTAGTGTGTTAATGCAAAGTAATACTCTCTAACAAACAGAGCCAACCAGGTTGAAGTTGCAGTTAAACCAATTGAAGAAATCAATTTTCTTTATTCAGAAAGCTTAGTACAATGAAGAGGATGAAAAATAATTCAGATACTGTTTTTGTATTTGCGAGAGTCTATGATTTTGAAATTTGCTCATTCTGGGTGAGAAAAATAGGTGGTAAGCTACATAGAAAAATATTGGAAGAAACACAAAATATTATGCTTATAATTTAAGGTATAAAGAGAATAGCTTTATTTTTAGATGATACTAAGACTTTCAGACTATAAAACTCACTTCCTCATTGTTGAGTTTCTAATCTACTTCATAGCCTTATTCACAAATCGGCAAATTAAAGGCAATTTCTAGTTAAAGAAACATAGCAACTACAAAGTTCAGAACTATTTGATAATAGTCATTTTTCACTGGTAATCACAGAGCAATCAATGGTCTAAATGCATAAAGGATCTAATTAATTACACTAGTGAAAAATGAAATATGGATTGTAGTTTACAAATAAAAATATTTTAATGGTTTATTTGAAAATCAGATCTCTACAGTGATTTTAAAATAAATAAAAGCTAATCTTAAATAATCTTTGGGAAATATTTCCTACATCCTTTAGAAAATGATGTGTGTACATCTTTGGTGCACATTTTAAAAAAATTTAAAAGGGCAATTTTTGTCAAAGAGTAGTTTGATATCATGCTTGCTAATGATGATGACTTCTTGACAGAATCATAATTACAATGGTAAATATTCAAAGCACAAACTCTGTTTAGCACAAAATTCCTAATCAGAGTCACATAAATACTTTTAGGAAAAATTATTTATTTTCACACAAAGCTCCTTCATCAAATAGTATTGAGTCTTGGGTTGGGAATCTTTGTTATCTGTAACATTATATATGTCTATTTTTGGTTTCATTCATTTATAAGGCCCATGAGAGCAATAGGTAAAACTGATTTTGTTTCTTCTTCTATCTCCAGTGCCAAATACAGTGTCTGGCCTAGTTTAGGTACACTTCATTAAATACTGGATATTAAATAGGGTTTTCAAATCAGAAATGACGACACCAGCTTTGAACATGTGGTATAGTGTTTGTTGTAAGAGTTTAGGTCTAAATCTAGGAAATAGTTCAGAAAAGTAAACATACAATGACAGTTAACAATTAATGAATCAGAATTTAAATTGGTGTTAAAGATGTTTAAATCTTTCTCCCCATTAAGCCATAAGATGCTCATAAATGCTTTTTTTTAAAAAAAATATGGCATGTTTGACAAATCCTATATAATAAAAGCACAGTACTCAAATTGTCCCCTTGACCAGAGTTCTTCCAGGAGTTCGACCAGGGGGTGGGCCAGTTGGGAGAAGGGAGGGAGGCCCTGGTGCTGACAGGTGGCCTGGGGAAGGGAGGGAGGCCCTGGCCAGGAACGGTAGTGGTGGCGGCAGCAGTGGCGGGGGCAGGCTGCCAGGGGGAAGGGAGGGAGTACCGGCTGGCAGCCAGCAGCCACTAGGGACCCTACCAGTGCACGAATTTTGTTCACTGGGCCTCTAGTATTCTTGTAACTGTGAAACTCCCAAGATGCATAGTAGATTCATTCTACATGCAAGCTTAGTAGAGCTGAAAGTGGATTGTGTTGCATTGAGAAGTGGGACATTTTGGCTATCTCTATGGATTTCAAACATAAAGAGAATGCAGAAAAAACTTGAAATGGATATATTTTTAAAATATCCCACCTCTTTTTTTTCTTATGCTGACATACATACTCTCACACAACATCCTGGGTTGAACATTCCATAAAGGTATTTATAAGGCATTCTCTCTTTATTCATAATTTAAGCCCATGTACATACCATTCACAGGGAAATGCAGGGAAAAAAACACAGTATCTCAGTGAACAGCTAAAAGAACTCAGCATAGTTACAGAAAAGACAGATAGAAGAGTCCATAGTTTTGAATACATATTTATTAATATCATCATCATTCTTGTTTAAAAGTAGTACTTGAAGTGGCTGATAAATACTTAGGATTGCTAACTCTCTCAGCAGAGTTCATAATGATAGTGAATTCAGGCTGACTGTTTAGGACATTCATTTTCTGCCTGGTGAAGCAAGCCTCCATTTTACAGCAAAATGCCCTAAAAATGCAGAAAATGCTAAGCTAGAACAAACACTGGAATGATTTATGGCAAAATTAACGCATGCCATTAGGCTCTTGGGTTGTGACAGCCTTCTTGTCGGCTGCCTAAGTGCTAGATTTATGCAGTTTCTCCTCATGGTTTGCTCATCTATCCTGTTCAGGCTGAGACAGTTTACACCAGCAAAGCTTGGTGGTGGCACACGTTATTTCTTCACCTTACAGTCCAATTATTGAATGGATCTACCTTTGCATATATATTTTCAGAGATAGAATAATTTGAGAAGTTTATGCATCATAGAAGCAAGTCTTTTGCAGAATTAATAGGGTCAAATTGCCCTAGATACACCCACTAGAATGTTTTCGTGAGTGAATCCTGGATGATTTTCAACAGAGACTACAATTCTACATTTTTGCATATGTAGGTTCATGTCTTTTGCCCCTTTGTTCAGTGGATTCATTAAATTAATCCAAACATTCCGTTTCGCCACTGTATAAAAATGCAATCTCAAAATGCTGCTGAGTTTAATCTGATCCTAATGTCCGGTTCACCATTTCATGAAGAGGTTTAGCTCAGAGGTGGACAATTGTAACAACACCTGTGACAGCTATTGCTTCCTCTAATAGGTAATAGAGTTTGACGATGGATCTGGATCAGTTCTCAGAATACAGCCCTTAAGGACTCCCCGGGATGAGGCCATTTATGAATGTGTGGCCTCGAATAACGTCGGAGAAATAAGTGTATCTACCAGACTCACAGTTTTGCGTGGTAAGTACTCAAGTGCAAGTTTGTTGCTCGTGTCATTGTTGAAATTCTATATCCCAGATGTTCTATTGTAAAGCCATCAAAAAGACCAGCATTGTCCTGACACTTACATTGGAAATGAATTGAAATCAAATGTTTATAAGAGCTCAACTTTTAAATAGACAGTAGATGACTTCTTTCGCGAGTCTTGGAAAATGCAAATCAGAGAGAGAAAAGAAAAATCCCAAAGAAATTCTGATTTCAAATGCCAGATACCATTTTGATTTTTGGCGGAAAACCTTGAAAGAAAACAGGGTATGCTACTGTTGTACATGTTAGCAGCATTACTTGTGTATGGAGATTTCATACCGAGCTCAGCAACTCCTTTTTAAAAATGACTGATGTTTACAAAATTAAAGGAGCAACTTCTGTCTTACAGATGAGTTGTTCTGAAGAAGAGGAATCAAAACAAGAAAGGCACCTTTCTTCTTTAAGTAAAAAATTATGTGTTTTTATTTCCGTCTTTTATATTTCTTGAACTAACATCTGTTGATGCTAAGTGACTGGATATGTGGATTATGCAGTTTGACCAAAGCATGGTATGACATGGCCAATGTCCAGTACAGTGTGTCTGCTTCCTAGACTTTCTTTAGAATGACAGTAATAGAAGAAAAATAAAGGATAATGGGTAATAATACTGTGTTGTATGTATCTAAAGCAGGTTTTTGGATAGAGATAAGAACATTCATTGACGTGGCTTGCCTCGTAGTTAATATTTCCAGACTGACTTTTGTACCTTTATCTATTTTTCTCTCACACACACTTTACTTGTTTTATTTTACTCTTAACTTTATTTTGCTTTCTTGCACAATTTATAAAAACAGGCTTTCTTAAGATGAAGGGAGCTGGAAAGAAGGAATTGCATTTTAATAATTACAGGGGAAACATATAGATTAATAATATTTGTCCTCCATTTTACTTTTTTTTCCCATTGAGGGATTTACTTACTTTCTATGTTTTATAAATTCCAAAAACATTCCTTCTGGAATTATTTAATACCCAAATCAATTAGTTAATCCAAGAATCTTAGAATATTAAATTATTTACATTATGTGCTGAAATATATTTTAAATAATATAAACATCTTAGTCTAAGGGGGACATATGGAGCAACTGGATACAGATATTTGAAATCCATGTAACAGAATGCTGCTTAAAAACAAATAACTCAGATTTGAGTTATTCCTGACCATTATGACAAGCTCAAGTTCCTACAGAAAGTTCTTCATCCCCTTATCAACACATAGAAATGTTGATAAAATATCTGAAAATTTAAATTAAATGCATGGTAGGCTTGCAAAGAAGAAATTTCCAGGGGTCAAAAACAAAGAGACTCTCCAGAGAAGATATCCCAAGGTAGTAATCAAATGGATGATAGGCTTTCAGACTGAAGTTTATCTCTCCAGCAGGACACAGGCTTATATAAAATAAGGTGGAAGTATGAGGAGAAAGATCAGTTTTTAGCATACGGTGAGACTTCTAGTGCAATATTCAGGACCCAGAGGCTAACCTAAAAGCTGGTCAGAAACAGTGAATCCCATCCTAACTGATTTGGCTCAGTGGATAGAGCATCGTCCTGCAGACTCAGGGGTCCCAGGTTTGATTCCGGTCAAGGGCATGTACCTTGGTTGCGGGCACATACCCAGTGGGGAGTGTGCAGGAGGCAGCTGATCGATGTTTCTCTCTCATCAATGTTTCTAACTCTCTATCCCTCTCCCTTCCTCTCTGTAAAGAATCAATAAAATATATTAAAAAGAAAGAAAAAGAAATAGTGAATCCCATAGAGTGTGGAACAGGCAGCCATGTAAACCCTCACCTATCAGAGACACCCCCATTCCAGGGCATACAGCCCCGTATGAGATCATTCATGCCCCATTGGGCTCATGGGTTCCAATTCTACAGCACTAAAACCAGTTCCAGTTCACAGTGGACAGTAAGCCCAATCAATGAAAGTAGAAATCATGGTCTCTGAACTATGGATGATTGAACTGCATGAATGTGTTTTAAAAAATAAATATTTTAAATACCTGAAAAGGTAAAGGAAGGAATAAAATGTATCAGACAAGAATCAGACATTAGGAAAAAGGAGCAGACAGGAGTTAGAAGTCAGATTTTAGAACTGAAAGGACCCTTAAACACTGTTATACAAATTTTTAATACAAACTATAAAATGTACATATATTAATATACATATGTATATATTCACATAAACATACATAACAGATCTGAAACTTGTAGAACCATTTATTCTGAAGCAAAATCAACTCATTTGTAGATCTTTTAACTTTTTATTTTCATTTATTCACCTAGTGAAGAACTAAAGCTGTTATGTAGAAAGTGTATTACAAAGGTCTAATAAAGTGAAATTTACCAGAAACTTATTTTTTTCCTCTTGAGTTTCTTGAACAAATTCCTTAAAAGGAAACAATGATAGTCATTTGGCTTGACTTAATTTTTATGCATTTAATGAAGACATTAACAAAAAGTTGGAGGAAAATATGACTTCACGTAGACATTTACATGGATGTATGTTTTTCTGCCTCCCAGCTTACTGGGGTCCCCCAATCTCATCTGCTTTTATCTAATTAGCCCCCACATAAAACAAATCTATTGGGAAATTTTAATATGATGTTGACTTTCTATGGGAATATCTGTCATATGTGAGTACATTTGTATGAAATTTATTAGTAACACAGTAAAACCTTATTTTTTTAAAGACTAAGTTTAGCAATTTTGGAAATGTTTCACGAGAAAAACTCAAAGGTATTTTGGATAATGGAAAAGTAGTCTAAACATAACCTTAAAAATAGAATACTTTCATATATCCTTATAGGATGAAATAAATGGGTTCGGAAATTAGCTTTGTTTCTTAGAGTTACTTCTGCACTTAAACATTTTAAAATAACTATTGATAATTCTATTAATGATCATCTTTTAAAAGTATTCTAATGGTAAACTAACATTCCTAGAACATGAATGTCGTTAACAAAAGTGAAGGGTTTCACATCACACTTTGTGCCCATTTGAAGTTAGTTTTCGCTCACAAATCACGTTGGCAGGTACCCTTGCTTTGCCATGGGTGGAAACTGCTTTCCACTTTGTCATCCGGAGGCCTCATCAGATGCTCATTTGGTCCACATGGGTCATTTACGTTCTTCCTCACTTTGCTGATCATGCCAAAAATGTGCCAACCGTCCTGATGGGTTTTGTCTAATTGGGCTGGATGGAGAGCACTAATTTATTTCACACAGGCTACCAGAGAACCTAATTAATTGCAGATTTAAACATCTAACCTGTGTGGCTAATGCAGAAGACGTTGAAAGAATACCCTGGCCACCCATGTGCATTGAAGGTAGTATTTCAGGGAAAAGTTTCCCTCTGTAGTTCGTTTCAGATGGCCCTCGCTCTGAAAAACTGTTTTCATAAGGAAGGATAACTGCAGGCTTGGGCTGAGCACGCCCTGGAATGAGCTATTCGGGCAATTACCACTTATACACTGTAGACCATAGTTCCTAGAAGAAGTCTTGGAAGAAGGGGGAGTTCAATGTGGTAGTTACAGCCTCTAGGTCATTTTTCAAGTTTTTTGTGTGGCTGTGAAAACATAAGCAAATCCCAGCTCTCTAGTCTGTGGTTTAGGAGGTTGACCATATCCATCATACCATGTGTATTCCCTCCTCAGCAGAACTTTAACCGGAGGCCTCCGATATCACGCAGAAGGTATTGAGGGCTAAGCCTAACTAATGGTAGAATTCTACTGAGGACTCTGGACTGGATATTAGATTTCCAGTGAGGGGTAAGAATAGGACCAGAGGGGGTGTTTTAAGAAGAGGGATCATAAGCCAGAGGGAATTGGTTCTTTCTGAATCTTCGGTTCACTGGTCACTATTTCTTTCTGACCAAAGATATCAGGATGTAAATGTCCTCTCCGTTCCGTTATCAGCCCCTGGGCATGGGAAAGGAAATATCGCCATCCAAAGACTTCCCTGTAAGGCAGTCATGCCTCTTTCAGGCAAGCGGAAGGACATCAAGAATCCTTCCTTCTGGCTACATAATTCCTGTTCTGTGAGAGAAGTTACAGAAAAATTAATCAAGTGTGCCTCTAATTATCTGACTAAATGTCATGTTCTTGAATTTATATTTTTATGTAGAAATTAGAAAATACACATTTTGTTGTCATCCCAAACAGCATGTAAAATGTTATTTTTTTTAAGTTTAGTGGATTTTTTCCCCCAAGACTTGCCCATTCCCAAATAGCACTGACCCCCCGAATACCACCAGCAGTAACATAAAGTAGGATTAATAAGGGGTGGGGCAAATGTAGGTTTACAGTTGTGAGTAAACAAAACACAGTTTATTCTTATGTATAATTTATTAATTATTGTATTATTTGCCACACGCACAACTGTAAATCTACGTTTGCCCCATCCTGTATGTAACATTGTTTCTCTTATATACTCATAGGAAACCAGTTTGTCCATAGAACACATACAAAATAAAATTATTGTCTAAAAAAGTTAGGTGACCAAAAATGAGGCGAATTAAGTTACCTAGTTTTACAGATATATTTTATGAAACAATACTTATATTGAGTATCTACTCCATATAAATGCATCATATTTTATGAATGATCATCATCAAGACATAAAACAATATACAAAAATCCTCAAGTCTAAATCTCTGGTAATCTGAGTTTCAACTCTAGCTCTGCCCTAAAGTAGCTGTGCATTTGAGCAACTCTGTTAACTATCTTGATTTTTGGATTTTTTTCTCTCATACACAGAGAAGGGATTGGGTTGGTGAGTCCTCAGATCACTTCTCTCTAGCTTTCTAAGATTCAGTGACATGCCTATTTCAGCAAGTCAGTTCTTGTAAGATGGAAAAAATATGCTCACGGAAGGGGGCCGTTACTGAGAGATAGTAAAACAGAGAGTGAGACGTTGGATGAGACAGAGAAGGCATTTCATT